CACTGGAACACAACCTTCTCATCTAGCCTACCTCATCAACAAGTGAAGGGAATTGAGGGCTCTGGTTCTCCCTTCCTTTCTGGCAGCAGGTTGTTCTTGACTTTTCTTTCAACTTTCTACTCTTATTTTTTTCCATTCCTTCCCTCCTCTGCCCTATTTCATGTCCCATTTGACCTTCAAAAAGCAAAGAAGTCTCCTTTTCTGTAATTTACCCCAGTGACAGAAGAAATATTTTCCCCACTTTGTAAGTCAGTGAGAGAATATTGCTCCTGAGGAGACTTCTGAGGAGGCTGCACACTTATCTAGAGAGGAGCTGAAGCAGGTCATCCCCTAAACATGACAGCGGAGGGCCCTGCAACAAAAAGAGTGGCACCCATAAATGTTGTGATAGATCTCCAAGAGGGAAATATCAACCATGAATTTCTCAGAATCACCTACAAGAACAGAATATTACTGGATTCACTGGCCCCCACGGCAGCTGCTATGCTGATACCCAACTGTGGTGTCAAAAGATGGCACCAAAATTGGGGATCAGCACAGTGCCATGGGGGGGGGGGGGCAGTGAATAGCACATGCAGCAAGGGGGGAACAGAAAACATTATCTGGGACACCACTGAGTCACTTCATATCAGAGCACCCACCCCACCACCTTCAGCTTCTAGCCTGAAAGAGGGGAAGGCTTATTTCAATGCCAGATGCTGGACTGACTTCAGCAGTTCATAGTCAGGGAAATCTCTAAGACAGTGCTATCAGTACGGTATAAAAGGGAGAAACAGCTTGACTTCCTCGGCTTATATGGAAAGCCAGATAATTCAAGTCATCAGCAATATGGAAGTGAGGAAATCCCTTGCACTCTGAGCTGGCCAACAAAGCTTGCAGGAAAGATCTTACATTCATTTAGGTCTTCCTCCCAGGCTGCAACAAGTGCAAAAACACAGACAGTTTGAACCTGATTATTCTGACTTTACATCTGAGGTGGCAGAAAGGGAGTTATCTGACAAACACATTACCATCCAGGAGTAGCAATGTAGTCTCCTATTCACTCAGGAGGATCTATTTCCCTTTGTGAAAACCCTTACGGTATAAAATTTCTGATTCTTCAGAGAAATCTCTTAAATAAGGCATGCAAACCAACCAGTCTCAAGGGGGCTTGGATGGCTTTCCAAGCAGTACAACATCCCATCATAAGCTTTCTTTCCCAGAATGTTTTGGAGGAGATTGAGTATGAGACTGTAGTGAAGGACTCTCCTAAAATTACCCAAATCCCCTATGTCTCCTGCTTCTGCCAATCAAGACAACTGATAATGCATAGCTGATGCAATCAACCCTCTCCTACAGCAAAAATACAATTTCTTTATCCCAAAGGTTCTTTGGGGTTTACTTGATTTTCCTCACAGTTCCCATAAATAATGGAGATTGGGAGACCATCCTGGACCCTCAAGTAACTGAGCAGGTTCATGAAGCACAGGAGGTGCAAGGTCAAACATCTGAAGAGTAGCAGTCTCTGCACCGGCAAGACGGGATATAAATTGAAATAAATAAATAATATAGCGTGATGAATTTTTGCTATTCATGGACCCGATGGAAGCTTATTTTCATGTCCCCATGTTACCACATCACAGTTTTCTTAGGTTCTGCTGTAGAAATAAGCATTACCAATTTGGCCTTGTGTCAGCAAGCTAACAACAATTATTTATTTATTTATTATTTATTAATTCAGCTTGATATACCACCCTAACCCCCGTAGGGGTCTCTGGGCGGTTTACAGAGGGGGTGCTAATCACTTGTTAACCCTAACTAGGGCCACACACTGTTTCTGGGGAAGGGGCAGCCTACTGGCACCCTGGTGGAGGCAGATGTCTTCCTGATCTGGCTGGCTTCATTTTTCCCGGCGGTGAATGGGCTGTTGTTCCTGGTGCCTCGGCGATTCGGTGCGCTGCTAGCGTCCTCCCAGGGCCCGACTCTGTCCTTCAGGCTCCGTTGCGCTCCTGGGTGACGTCACCGCGCGCCTCCTGCTGCACGGCAGCCTGCTCGTTGTTACTGCTGCTTGGCCACTAGGGGTCGCTCCTTCCGGGCCTGCTGCTTCATCCACTCGCCCCGCCGAGGAGGAGGGTGCCCCCCACCCTTCTAAGGGTGGGTACCCATTCATCTACTTGCCTGAAATTACGTCGGCTTTCGAACCGCTGGGTAGGCGGGAGCTGGGACTGGGGTCGAGAGCTCACCTCGACCACGGTGGGTCTCGAACAGCCATAGTGGCTGCTCGAGTGATGTTAATGCAGGCCTTTTACTGCCTGCGCCAGACCTGAAGAAACAGGTCCACACCCTCCATTATCTAGACAACCGACTCCAGAGATCAGTGTTGAAAACACAAGCAGTCCAGAACATTAAATTAACATGGTTTCAACAAGAGAGAAGTAATCTGACTTCACTGTAGACTATTTTTCATGCAGAAGTAATAATACACTCTACCACAGGAATGCTGTTTCATCCAAGGGGGGGGGGGATGATGATATAATCAGAGCTCCGGGTCAGGTGATATCAGCTAGAAGTGCAGGCAGATATTTCTGCCACAAATCCAAGGACTGATTATTGCATGTACAGATGTGATTTGAATAGTTTGTTTGGGAGCTTAATAGCGGTTACTTATTGTTCTTTGTTTTTTATTGTAATGGAGTTTTAACTTCTTTATAAGACATCTTGGGGCACTAGTTCTCCAATACAAAGAGAAGAGATAGAAAAAAAGATGCTATAGGCTGGCAAAAGCTGAATGTCTGCTGATCCCTTACCATCACATCAGAGTGAATTAGGCCCTGATGACAAATGTCAGAAATGCATCAGTCCCTGTTATAGACATTGTTCTCACACATTCCTTCTCAGGGACATTTCAATTAACTGCTGCAACTATATCCATTATTGACAGAGAACTAATAGGATAAAATGTTAGGATAGTGGGATAAATAGGAGCTAATTAGATAAAAACGTTTGAACTCTGAATCTGGAATATAGAACTTATTTCTCATCCTTTTTTATTTTCCACTTGTGTTTCTTCTTGAAAAGATAAATAATGTATACAATAACAGAAATGATACATTTGCTTTGAGGAATCAGAAAAAATCCAATTCCAGTGCTGAGGCTAAGTTTTTGTACTTATTCTATCATTCAGTGGCAAGGTATTTTGAGTACTTTTATAAGGTGCAGGTTATTATTACTGTGAGAAAACTGACAGAAGAACAAACATATCCTTCCATTAGATCTTGCTTCTTGATTATCTAGCTTTGCAGTTTTTGTAAGAAACAAGGCAACTTTTCACATCCAGTCTTTGTATAAAGCCAAGCAGTGGGTGGCAACTAGCTGTCCTCTGCCTGCTGGTCTCCATTACTCATTTGGGTATTTACAATTATTGGTTTTCTGGTATAATACACCTCTCCAAGACAGTAATGGGCAGCATTAGCAGCTGTACATAACCGCTACATAGAGTCTCTGTGGCCATAATTGATCAGGAGGTGAACAGTAGGTTGGGGAGTTTACATGTTGTCACCAGAAAATATGTAAAATACTTTGCTGGAGCCATGCAAAGTTAACGTATGCAAAAATGCTCTCAGAGTGTTAGATAGATGTCTTTCTGCAGGGATGAGAATGGAGCTATTCCAGGAACCCTCACTTATAGCCACCACTCGCTCTTCTCTTGCCACCATCTCTGCTCAGTGCCAAAGGCCTGTTTAATTGGAGATGGGGGAGAAGTGGCAAGAATGCACCGTCTGTGTTTCTGCTCCTCACTGCCTACCTAAATAGGATGTTATTGGCACTGTCAGGATAAGGTTGCCACAGTGAAGGTGAATTCTATTAAATTCATATTAAAACAAGATACTGAAGAGGTCTTAAAGGGTGTTTTTTGCAAGGGTTCCTAGCCTTCGAGACATGCATACCTTATATTGCTAATCTGAAAAATATCAACAGCCTAAAAAAACCTTTTTTAGTTTACAAGATTGCTCACATGGTGGCCATTTTTACATGTGGCAAGCAAGTGGACTTTATCAAGCATGCATGAAGTGAAGGTTTATGGAAGTACTTCATCCCTTAACTAGTCTGCAGTGATTACCCTGCACTTTTTCTTCCTGCCTACTAAATTCACAAGTGTTCACCATAGCCATTGTGGCTATTAGCCACAAGGTATAGATAGGGACTCTGGGGCAAGTGATGCTCTGTCATCTTGGTGCTTGGGGGGGTCAACAGTGGGAGGGCTTCTAATGTCCTGGCCCCACTGGTGGACCTCCTGATGGCACTGGTATTTCTGGCCACTGTGTGATACAGAGTGTTGGACTGGATGGGCCTTTGGCCTGATCCAACATTGGCATCTCTTATGTTCTTATGTTCTTATAGTGAAATCATGGGCTGAATTCAGTGGGTTGGCTCCCACAAAGCACAAATAGTATAACATGCAAGTGCATGAAGTAGAGTTCCCATGGTGCTAGAATAGACGGCTTCTATAGCAGCTCCTGTATTTCTACTTGTGCAGTGTATTGCACAAGCAAAATAATAATTTTGGATTTAGTATCATTTTTCCTTTCCTCTAGTGCAAGATGTAAACAGTCCTTCTGTGAGTGGAAATGATTTTCTGCATGAGGAAGGGCTCCTTTGAATCCAACCCATCATATTTAGCCTCTACATCAAAACCCTGTGGTACATCATTCCTAGCACTTCCCAACACTTGACCTCATCTGCAGGCCTTAATTTCCCCCACTTCTTGCCTTCTGAAAAGAAAAATATTGCAAAATAATTTTAAAAGGCCATTTATTTATCAATTTTGAATAATGGCTCACTGAATTTATAAATGTTAGTTGATAGGATTAGACACTTTAAGAATAATTGTGCTAATAAAATGCTTGGTAAATCCAGGAGAGTTCTATTTCCCCCCCTTTGCTTACCATGATCAGCACCTTAATGTTTGAATTAGTTGGTCTGGCTCTATCATATTTAAAGACTTTTCTTTATGCTTGAAGGTGGACCCGGATCTGGCAAAGGAACCCAGTGTAAGAAATTAGCACAAAAATATGGATTCACTCACCTGTCCACAGAAAATCTCCTCCAGCAGGAAATGTCATCATTGTCAGAAAGAAGTAAGACCATAAGAGACTTAATGGAAAGTGGCGAAGTCATACCAGGGGTAAGCTGTAATTTCCTTAGAGTATCTGTTTGTTTTTTAAAAATTAAAGAAGCAGAGAATATCTGGGGTAGAGAAAAATTTCAGCTTTTTCAAAGAGGTTATCAAAGGCAAGCTGAACAAGTCTTATCTCTACAATATATTCCAGAAAAGCAGACTGTAGTAACCAATAATTCCTTTAGAGACCAGCAAAGCAATATGTCACAGTCTTTATGATATGTCTGTATGCATGTATGTTGTTAATCTTTATGGTACTTGTAATATTTCCTAGGGTGAGTCCTAGTCCTTTTAAAAACTCTGATAAAGACTCCACCCCAGGTTTGTCACCTTCCCATTTTCCTACCACTTCAGGGATATCCACAGAAAAATGTTCTGGGATAAAATGTGGCTTGGTGATGACAACCTCTAAGCCTGTAGCCAACAGTTGAGACATGAGGTAAACTTGACAGAGAGGAAGAGCAGCTTTTAAAAAGAGAACAAGAACAAAGTTTATTTGGAAGAAACTTAAGCACTGAGGTAATTATAACTCTTAACATGAAGGAGAAGATTAGAGTTTATAAATGGTACATGTCAAGAAATGCCATCCTGGCACATTTAAATAAACACTTTTTTATAAATTATATGTTTCAAGTAACCACAGCAAACCCTGCTGTAATTCAGTATAAATTTTTCATTCAGTTCCCAGATAGTATAAAGGGATTTAATGAAAAATCTGTATTCCTCTAAAGTGGTCCTCCCGCCCTCTCTCAACTGTCATTAACTAACATTAATTGTCTCTGCTTCTCAGCACTTGGCTGGTATTGCTTTGTTGGAGCTCTACTGTTATTAGCTTCAGTGTTGCAGGTTGATTTTTCTTCCTCTGTCTTCCCAGTACTACATAGTTTTTGCTCTGTTTTGTTCTAACATATTAGAGGACCCTTCTAATAATTATTTAACAACAAGGAACTCTTGGTCTGTAGCATCTTTAGCCTAATTGTTAATCCAGCCTTGACCATACAAAGTAGATTATTTTAAAAGCCAATAGGTCTCTGGCTGGCCTTGCATGCGTCACTGTTAAGCATTTTCCCACCTGTACAGAGGTTTGGGATTAGAAGCAGCAGATGATAGTTTGGGAGTAGTTTAATTATAGTTAATGATGGAAACAGTTGTTACTTCAGCAGCTGTTCAGGGCAGGATGGTATGAGGGAATGGTATCCAGCTCCCATAGTAAAGCAACTTAACTTCCAAAACAGGCTTTGCACAACATAATTTATGTTCTTCAATTAAGGATATTGTTATGGAACTCCTGAACGAAGCTATGGATGCCAATTTAGGAGACACAAAGGGTTTCCTGATTGATGGTTATCCCCTGGAAGTCAAGCAAGCAGAAGAGTTTGAGAGCCAGGTGAGCTTTGTCATAATTAAGAATTCCATTTGCATCTCTTCCAGAGTTCAGTTGATTGCAGAGCTGACTACTCTTTTTTTCCTGACATGGCTCCTCTACCTTTAACATCTGCCTGACTAGTAGAATTTCATCTATTAAATCATTAGCATGCAGGTTCCTTGACAGAAAAAGCTCTACTTGCAGAATTTCTGATGTAGTTTAATACTACAGATCTTTTCTCAGTACAAAGGTACCCAAGATGATATATGTACAAATAATGCATTTATTGGAAAATAGTCCATTGCTGAATAGATACAAAATAGATGATACATATAATTTAATACCAAAAACAGGTGTTTGTCATTCAGAAGAGGTTGTCACAGCAGGAGAGGTTAATATTTGCTTCCAGTACATTGCTTGTGTTTTCCTATGCTTGGACTCAGTGATGTAATAGGTACTGAGTCATCATCTTATAGAAAAAATATTTTCACCCTAAACAGAGAAAAGCCAGGAAGGCAAGTGGGTATCTTAATTGAATTTGCTCTCTGAATGTGTATATTACTGCACAGCCCATATTCTGGAATGACTCAATTATCATATATTTTACTAATTTCCCTTTCTCCATTATGATGCAACTATTTTGAAAAGTTGCAAAGATTTAACAAGTTTTCAGCTCACACAATGACAGGCCAATCAGGATATTAGAGTTTGGTGTAGGTCAAAGCAATGAAGTAATGGCAAAATAATTATGCAGAGCTCAATATGTCAAAGCCTGATTTTTGGTACTCTAGTGCCTCCTTGTGCATGTGATGAATAAAATTACCATCTTCTTCTGTGTAGTGCCACATTCTGTTTAATGAGGGATTTCCCTAATGCTGATTCAGAAGTTTAATGTTTGCAGGGGCAAGAGTCATTCTTGCATCTGCAGTGCCAAGAAAAATAGTGTGAATTAGTTTTGCATATATCTGACTTATCAAAAGGTCAAATTCAGAGCCAATTTTCATTATTTGGCCTGTAACAAATCTGTTAGCAAGTCACACCCGTATGACTACTTCATATAATGACCATAGCCCAAATGTTGGATTAGATTTATTTTATTTAGGTATATCCTATTCTGCTTATCTACCCAGCAGGGGCCCAAAGTGACTTACAAAAATATAATTTAAATGTGTTGTTGTTGTTCAGTCACACAGTCGAGTCTGACTCTTCGCAACCCCATGGACCACATCATGCCAGGCCCTCCTGTTTTCTGCTGTCCTCCAAAGTTTGCTCAATTTCATATTCGTTGCATCGATAACCCTGTCTAACCATCTAACCATCTCATCCTTTACCGTCCCCTTCTGCTTTTACCTTCAATCATTCCCAGCATCAGGGTCATCTCCAGTGAGTGCTCCCTTTTATTTATTTATTTACCTTCAATTTGTATCCCGCCTTGCCGGTGCAAACTGGCTCAAGGCGGCTTACACAAGTTAAAATACAATAAATACAATAAAATTTCAATATGAACGGTTACATAAAGTGCTAAATATAAACAGATGGTGGGAAATTTCTATACATGGTCCGCTGGAGAGAGGCCATATCCGGCGTTGTTACATAGGGCTGTGGTATGTTCAGTTTGCAATGGTTGTCAATGGCGGCTCCTAATCGAAAGCCTGGTGGAAGAGCTCCATTTTACAGGCCCTGCAGAACTGTAAAACTGGCTCAAGGCGGCTTACACAAGTTAAAATACAATAAAGCCAATAAATACAATAAAATTTCAATATGAACAATTACATAAAGTGCTAAATATAAACAGACGGTGGGAAATATCTATACATGGTCCGCTGGAGAGAGGCCATATCTGGCGTTGTTACATAGGGCTGTGGTATGTTCAGTTTGCAATGGTTGTCAGTGGCGGCTCCTAATCGAAAGCCTGGTGGAAGAGCTCTGTTTTACAGGCCCTGCGGAACTGTAAAAGGTCCCGCAGGGCCCTGATGTCCTCCGGGAGCTCATTCCACCAGTGTGGAGCCACCACTGAAAAAGCCCTAGCCCTTGTAATAGCCTGCTCTTCATTTGGTGGCCAATGTATTTGAGCTTCAGCTTCAGTATCTGGCCTTCAAGGGAACAGTCAGGGTTGATTTCCTTTAGGATTGACTGATTCGATCTCCTTGCAGTCCAAGGGACTCTCAAGTTTTTTCTAACACCATAATTCAAAAGCATCTATTCTTCAGTGCTCAACTTTCCTTATGGTCCAACTCTCGCAGCTATACGTTACTACTGGGAATACCATCCCTTTGACTATACGGACTTTTGTTGGCAGGATGATGTCTCTACTTTTTATTATTTTTGTCATAGCTTTCTTCCCAAGGAGCAGGCATCTTTTAATTTCATGGCTGCAGTGACCATCTGCAGTGATCTTGGATCCCAGGAACATGAATTCTGTCACTGCTTCCATGACTTCCCCTTCTATTTGCCAAGAAGTGATGGGGCTGGATGCCATGATCTTAGTTTCTTTAATGTTGAGTTTCAAGCCAACTTTTGCACTCTCCTCTTTCACCCTTAGCAAGAAGCTATTTAGGTCCTCTTTACTTTCTGCCATTAGAGTGGTATCATCTGCATATCTGAGGTTGTTGATCTTTTCCCCAGCAATCTTAATTCCGGCTTGTGATTCATCCAGGCTGGCATTTCGCATGATGGACTCTGCATATAAATTAAATTAGCAAGGGGACAATATACATCCTTGTCGTACTCCTTTTCCTATTCTAAACCAATCAATTGTTCCATATCCGGTTCTAATTGTCAGTTCTTTACCCTTATACAGGTTTCTCAGGAGACATGTGAGGTGGTCTGGTATTCTCATCTCTTTAAGGACTTGCCACAGTTTGTTGTGATCCACACAATCAAAGGCCTTAGCATAGTCAATGAAGCAGAAGTAGATGTTTTTCTGGTGCTTTCTCCATAATCCAGTGAATGTTGGCAATTTGATGAAACCCAGCTTGTACTTCTGGCAGTTCTCTATCCAGAAAAAACCCTACGCATACCAACTTCATCCTGGGCTGATCCTGGATCCATTGGCCGGCCACAAGCTACGGGCCAAGGATCTTTTGGCTCTTGCCCCTTCAGCATTTGATTCTAGCCTAGAGATGTGGTGGCCTGGAAGTGTTCCCCCCCATTTTTTTTCTGAGGTCTTTGTTTCAATTTTTCCAAAGGAAAAATTGGAATTTGGGGGAGTACTGAAACAAATTTCTATGAAACATTTTCTCCTTTATGATAAGTGAAATGCTTCTAAAGGCAAGGTGGGCAGACAGTACAGCTCTTAAATCCAAGATGCATTTGTGCACCTAGAAGAATACTTCATCAGGTTCCTGAGGGAAGCACGCAGGGCTTTCATTGCTTCTCAACAGTCGCATGTTGCTTGTCAGTTCTCTTAGAAGATGGGGAGATGACAAATCATTCCAGAGGGAGGATCAAAAACTGTTGCATAACTCTTGTTGACTAGCTCCACAGTCCAGAGGTCAGGCTGTGACTGGATCCAGACCTCCTTGAAGTGGAGTAGTTTTCCTCCCACTAGAATCGAGATAGCGAATCGAGATGCCTTGGGGTGTTTCCTGTCCCAATCAATCTTGTCCAATCTGTTGCCGGGTTGTCTGGGGACTCTGGATCTGAAGGTTCTCTTTTGAAGAAGTGTCTGGAGGAATTGCAGTTTGATCTTTGATCATTCTTGAATCTCAGCAAGGCATGTTGTGAATTAAAGGAAGAGCCTCCATACGCCTGTCTGTCTGGACAGCTCAGTGTTTTGGGGAGTGCCTTCTTTTTATCCCCAATTTCCATCAGAATCTTATCCAGACACTCCCCATATAATCTGTTGCCCTGGAATGGGTATGCCACCACTATAGCCTTAGAATGAAAGTCAGCTTGCCATGTCCTGAACCATAGGGTTCTTCTTGCTGCCACATTGGAAGACATGGCTCTAGATGGGGGGAGGGAGTGAATCTAGTATTGCATCCACTCTGAAAGAATTGCCTTCAGGATCCTGTTGGCCCCTTCTATGAGATGTCTGTTGGATTCAGCAAGTAGTTGAAATAATTTCCTGGTCCATACAATGGCTTCTCAATGGAGCAGAGGTCCATTAGTGGCTATTAGCCACAAGGTATAGATAGGGGCTCTGGGGCAAGTGATGCTCTGTCTTCTTGGTGTTTGGGGGGGTCAGCAGTGGGAGGGCTTCTAATGTCCTGGCCCCACTGGTGGACCTCCTGATGGCACCTGGTATTTCTGGCCACTGTGTGACACAGAGTGTTGGACTGGATGGGCCTTTGGCCTGATCCAACATTGGCGTCTCTTATGTTCTTATGTAATGGCTGCTCTGGAGACTATGGATGCAGTTGAAGCTGCTTTAATCGCCATAGCTGTTGCTTCATGGGCCTTATGTAGCACAAAATCCACTTTTTTATCTAGACTGTTGTGGAGGGAACTCTGCCCATCTTCCAGTAGAGGCCAGAGGATTGCAACGCTGTGATGGGAACATCCACCAACGGAATCTGAAAAAACTCAGTAGTAAAGGAAGGTAAAGCATATAACTTTTTAATAAACCCTGGGTACTGTCTGTTTGCTAAGGGTTTATCCCATTGTTTTTCAAAGAACTCTGGAAAGGGAAAGGGACGTTCATTGGTTTCTGATCTAGGGGGAAAAACTCCTTATTCCTCTAGGTCTGTTTTTTTGCTTAGAAGCTGGAATATCTTTTCCCTCTCTTACAGGGGGCTCCTGCAGCTCTAGAGTAATGGGGGGTTTGGACAGGAGATTTTGGTAGTCCCCTGTCTTTAAAAACCTGCTAGGTTGTTCAGGCATTTCAATGTTGTCTTCCTCTTGGTTGCCTGATAGGAACTCTCCCTCTTCTCTGTCATCAGAGTCAGTATCAAATGAGGAATCTGTCCAGTGCATTATATCTCTTTTTTCTAAAACTGGAATCTTTCTGTGCTTTTTTGGCCAGTGCGCATTTTTCTTCCCAGATGCTTTGTTCCCTAGCCCTTTGTAGCTAGGTTTGG